ATTACTTATTTCACATGTATATTCCTTGTGACAAGACTTTCTTCTGATACCAACAATTTGAACCATTTGATCTTGACCTTTGAGTTTGACATATATTTGAGAAACCTCAACCTTCGCCATAGGCTTCCATACAGGGGCATCAGTGTTTCACAAACACATCTTGTCTTCATTATTATTTGGTGGTGTCTCCATATGAGGGAAAAATTCCCGAGAGAGATGTATTCACAACAAACAAACAAATTACTAAAGAAAATATAAAACATGAATATGTTGGTCATGCAAATATCTGCAAGAAAAAAACAGCTTTTCAAATACTGTAACCATATTGTAACCCTTTCAAAACACTCATTTGAGGTTTTCTAGATCTGGTTTCCTTATCATATAACGTCTGTTGTGACGTGTCGTCCATCTGTTTGTGCTGAAACCTTTTTACAGTTTTAACTTCTCTAGAACCACTGGGCCAATTTTACCCAATTCATATAGAAATATGTACATTTGTATGTCAGACTGTCCATCTGTCTCAATAAATTTAACCTTGGTCATCACGGTCATATCTACTGAATGAGAAGAGACAAGGCATACATATTAAACTTATGTACTAGTATTTACCTGTGAGAATGGCATGGGGTTTTTTTTACATGTGATCTAGAAGTTTGACCTACTAGCAAAAAAGATAAATTGTTACAAATTCATCATTTTGAAAGAGAAAAGTGGGCATTCATACTATAATGCATGTATATTATTACCTGTGATAAGACCTTTCCAAATAAATCATGACTTTTAACTCTGTGACCTTGACCTTGAAGCCTAACCTACTTTTCAAAAATGTTGCATTTGCTTATAACTTTTGATTGAAAAGAGATATGACTCTCACATTTGACATGTACATTAATAATTACTCATAAGAATTCAAGATGATTCCCAGCATGCGATGCTTTTTTACCCCTTGACGTTGATGTTTTACCTAATTTTCAAAATATTTAACTCTCCTAAAAGATGATTAGGCTTCTTAGTAATATTAAGGAGGACTTCAGGGAATACAGGGCTTTTTGCATAAAAAACTTAATTTTTCCACCCCCATTTAACCCCCCGGGGCAAAATCAAAATTCCGAAAACTTACTGCACATCTACATATTACCACCAACCATCTCCCAAAAGAAGATTAGGCTACTGTGTAAAATGTAAGAGGAGTTCAGGGAAAACGGGGCTTTTTGCATAAAAAAACATCATTTTTCAACCTCCATTTGACCCCCCGGGGCAAAATTGAAATTCCGAAAACTCACTGCACATCTACATGACACCACCAACCATCTCCCAAAAGAAGATTAGACTACTGTGTAAAATGTAGGAGGAGTTCAGGGAAGACGGGGCTTTTTGCATAATAAACGTCATTTTTCGACCCCCATTTGACCCCCGGGTAAAAATCAAAATTCCAAAACCTTACTGCACATCTACATGACACCATCAACCAACTCCAAAAAGATGATTAGACTACTGTGTAAAATGTAGGAGTTCAAGGAAGACGGGGCTTTTTGCATAAAAAACGTCATTTTTCGACCCCCATTTGACCCCCCGGGGCAAAATCAAAATTCCGAAACCTTACTGCACATCTACATGACACCACCAACATCTCCCAAAAGAAAATTATGCTACTGTGTAAAATGTAGGAGGAGTTCAGGGAAGACGGGGCTTTTTGCATAAAAAACGTCATTTTTCGACCCCCATTTGACCCCCCGGGGCAAAATCAAAATTCCAAAACCTTACTGCATATCTACATATTACCACCAACCATCTCCCAAAAGAAGATTAGACTACTGTGCAAAATGTAGGAGGAGTTCAGGGAAGACGGGGCTTTTTGCATAATAAACGTCATTTTTCGACCCCCATTTGACATCCTGGAGCAAAATTGAAATTCCAAAACCTTACTGCACATCTACATGACACCAACAACCATCTCCCTAAAGAAGATTAGGCTACTGTGTAAAATGTAGGAGGAGTTCAGGGAAGACGGGGCTTTTTGTATTAAAAAAAACGTCATTTTTCGACCCCCATTTGACCCCCGGGGAAAAATCAAAATTCCAAAACCTTATTGCACATCTACATGACACCACCAACCATCTCCCAAAAGATGATTAGACTACTATGTAAAATGTAGGAGGAGTTCAGGGAAGAAAAGTGTGACAGACGGAAGGACGGACAGATGGTCGGACGGACATGAGTAACAACAATATACCCGAACTTTCTTTAGAAAGTGCGGGTATAATAAAAGTTTTTCATGTTAATAAGAAGTCATTAATACTCTTTTCTAGAGTATCGGGGTCACGTTTATCATGCTAACATTCATGTTCATTTTGGTGCTGTTCAACTGTTGTGTTGTATTGACCTTTGTTCTGCGGTTTCAGTCCTTCTCATTGTACCTTAGAGTTCTTACAGAGTGTGCAATCTGGCGTTGGATATCTGTTCATCTAAGAGACAGAGAAAAATGCCATGAAGTAAATCTGATATATATATATACCATTAATTCAATTAAATTAATTAATTTATATCAAATAAATAAATTCAATAAATTAAAAGTTTACAAAACAATAAACAAAGCATTTATCAATGTAAATATTTTACCAACTCAAATCCATCTCTCATTGCAATCATTCCTTCTTCGTCAGAGACATCAAAGAAAACGAATATTTACTAATTTTCAATGAAATCGATATGTATTAATTGAAGAAAGGCAGCGCACGTGTTGCGTGTATATAAGGGTGTGTGTGTGTTTCAATTATTCTGTTAGGCACATTTGTGCAGAAAAAAAGTGTATAATGGCTTTTAGCTGAGAAATGTAATCAATGCAATTAAAATATGATATGCAACGAATGGAACCGCTTGCTGTCTTGAATCTAAGCATACTTCTAAAGTTAATGTAAAATACTTTTATAAATAAACATAACACTATGTCTTAATTTAGTAAATCATTAAAATACTCTATACTCTACTCATTACATGTAAAACCTCGCATTTTACCATCACAGGCATCAAAATTGCATTTTTCTTCACATCCTCCTCCCTTTCTTCTGAATGGACATGGTTTTGAACAGTTTATAGCAATAATCTTGAGGCCCTCTGAAATACAGCGAGATAACGGCAATGCAATAATCTATTCCCATCATTTGTTGGTTTTTTTAGTTACTTAATATATTTATATTGAAAGGCAAAAAATATGCTAGCAAATAAAAAATAACGAGTAGTTTTATTATTTCTATTACTTGCAGGTTAAACATTTGTACAATATTCCAAATTATTTTCCGTTTTAGTTATTGGCAATGGAAATTGCTTAAATATTTGGAATACATTTTTTCATCTTTTCAATGCAAGAATTGGTTTTGCAGTCACAGTCCTCACATATTTTCTACCATAATATTCTTGTGGATAAGGAATTAAACAAATAACCCACCGAAACAAACTGAATGCAATGCATAAATCATAGAGAAGGACAGTGTCATTTTCATCCTCTTTCAAACATTTCTCTTTAAACTTTACGATGGTGTAAAGGTCATTATACTATCGCAAATAGCTGCCGCCATATTATCATCTACTATGTAAGTACATGTTCATGTGGTACATATAGCCCTTATGAATTTACAGAATGAAATAAATTTACAAGTTATAAAATATTTAAATATAATTAAGCAATGCTGGTAAACCATAAAATCCTTTGAATTAAACAAGTTATGAATAAAATTAAATAATTATTTTTTTTAGATTGGGGTTAACTTGTTAAACACTTTAAATTTCTATTAAGAACTGAAACTATTTTAGATACTGATTTCACAGTATGTTAATTTGATTAAACGTTTTAAAAAAGAACTATATTTGTAGAAAGATCACAAGTTTAAAAGAATAATGAGTAGAGAAAGAAGATTGATTGATTATGTATTGTTTAACGTCCCTCTCGAGAATTTTTTACTCATATGGAGACGCCACCACTTGCTGGTGGAGAGCTGCAATTTTTTTCCTTTACCCGGCACTCAGGGCTATTGAGCAGGAAGGGATCTTTTTCATGCCAGCACCTACTGCGACACGTGACCTCGGTTTATACGGGATAATCCGAAGGACCGGTCTCCATGCCCCACACTGGGATTCGATCCCGCGACGTAAGGATTAACTACTTACTTTGTGACTCTAGACCTGACGTTCTACCACGGCGCCACGCGAGCGACCTAAGAAAGTAGAAGACAAATTAAAGACCAAATACCTGTTTCTGATTGGTCCTTACACGAACCATTCATACTATCACAATCTTTACAGAAGCATTTTTCTTCACACCCTCTACCATAATACCCGGGTGGACAAGTATAGAACAATCTTTTCCAAAACTTCCCAAGCAAACTAGAAGAAAAATGCATAATTGGTAAGATTAAATATACAGTAAGGTCTATGTTTGGCAGTATGGTTGTTTTGATTGTTTTGATTTATTGTTATTTCATACTTATTGAATGAGATGTCTTATATTAGTCCATAGCTTAATATTTAGAGCTTGAATACTGATCGTTATCTCCATGTATTAGGGAACACGTACACTGTACCTAGATTCTGTGGTCTAATAGTTTAGACAAGGTTGAAAGAAAAAATTGACTATAGCAAAAGAAAAATAGAATCTCCTCCCCCATACTTTGATATTTCGCATTATATCATGACTTAATCAACTGAAAGTATGGTCTCTGTATGCCTGAAAGTCCTCCACTGAACGCATTTAGGGATAATTGGGGTATTCATAGATTTTCAAATTTGGCATGAATTCCAAATAAAAGTTCAAATGAACAGGTTTTTCAAACATAACATATATTTTATTTTTAATTTCCTCTATTGGGAAAGTATTCTTATATACGTAAATAGTATTGAAATTGTTATCCTACTTCGTGGCATGGTTTCGTTAAAACATTCCCCTGTCGTTGCATTACATCTATCCCCGGGACATTCTTCTTGACATTTAACTCCAAAGTATCCTCCAGGACATGGCCTGCTACATTCGAGCCCAAATGAACCTACGCATGCTATATTAATAATGAACTCATTTAAAGTAGGCTTCTTTTGTTTTAACATCAAAATCGTATAAGAAATCATTGCATTAATTACGATATCTTTCTATCTGTTAAGGAATTGAAATACACGAATTTACATTATAATAACAAATCAAGTAAATTTATCATTTGATATAATTTGATAATTAAGTTTCAGGTCAAAAGCTTACGGAAACATTTCCCTCCTAAAGTTCTGTAACCATCACAACATCGCAAAATCCTTCTACATTTAAACAGTGTCATTATGTTATATTTGTTTATGCATTCATTGATTTATTTATCTATTTATCAAAATTTTCATGCATGGATAAAAAAAAAATATATAACTCACTGGTCACTGGAAGTAAAATCCCAACACAATGGTTCTACGAATGACGTAAGTTCTCGAGTGGATTCCAAAAACATCAAAGTAAAGAAAATGACTTTAGAGTATATCATATTGAAAACAATCTTTACTAATGTTTTTCTTTACGGACAATGTGTATGATTTCCTGAATGGCACTTCTCCCAATATTACATTTTAAGAGCACTTAGAAAATGAAATATCAAAGTATTGAAATGATAGGTCGCGAAAAAGTATGATAAGTGGGTTTATGCAATTTTTCTAATCATTTATACATGTATCACGTCTCCTTGACGTGTAATAAGTCATCCTCTTTGAACTTAATTATTTCCTTTTTTTGAAAACTCATAATTAAAATCTTATTTCTTTACCTTAAATGGATTTCAAGGAAAATAATTAAAATAATTACTCAAATAAATTTCAATTTCAATTCATTAATATCATACATGTAAAAAAAATTCGAATTTTCCTTCATTTTTTCATTTCTTAACATGGACATGCACGTTCAAATTTTCTTTGTTTACTTTATGATATACATTTGTAGGTGAATACTGAAAAAAAATTCAAGAATATTTAGTAAAAGAAATTTGAAGATGCACGCATCCATTCTTATTATTGAATTTCATATTACTTTGAACCCAATCATTCAATAAATAAAAGATTAAATCATAACATGTTTTATGAAAATAAATCTTTTTTTCACTGAAACATAAAACATCTTCAATAAATGCTAAAGTTTATCTGTGATGCAAGAAATACATGAACATATCAAACTGTATATAACATAAGAAAGAAGCAAAATGCTACGACTGTATGTCAATCTCTCCACAACGAATGAAGAGTTTTTAAACGGGATAGATAAAAATATGAGCATATTATTTTAACAGTATGTCACTGTGATTGATAGTGTAAAACGATGGGACATAAAGCAAGATCCAAGGTAGCAAAACATCGTCAAATAATTGAAAATCAGCTTGAAATGAAGCACAATAAAAAGATTGTAACCGTGCAGTGCAATTTTTCCAACACTTTTTCTATACATAAAAAAACAAATTTTATTTATCAAAAGATGCCCTAACCTTGGGCCTTTATACTAAAGATAACAAAATACTTTTATTTAATTATTTATTCCCCTCGTCTTTCTGCAAAATTAAATTAATTGAGCACTCGATCCCGATCAAGCCGAACCCGATCCAATATGAGTTCGATCCCGATCCAGTCGACTCCGTTCTTAATACATAAAAATCAATAACAACTGCAATTTTAATTTAAATATGTCAAAAACAATGTAAAAAAGATTGTATATAAAACATTTTATGAAACATAAAATTTTATTTATTTGGCGATATAGGCCACGGCTGCATTAAACAAATAAGGGAGCCCAGCATCAATTCTTGAACAAATAAGGGAGCCTAGCATCAATTCTTGCCTTGGTGACGTCCCCACAAATAAACAAGCATTAGTGGTAAGCCCTGGGAACAGATGCTCGCCTGCTTGGACAATAATTGCAAAATTCAATCAATTGTGTACCAAGTCATATATTAAGATTTTAGGTTAGTCACTACTGGTGAGCCAAATATCCACTTGGGCAATATGTTCCTCCAGGTAGGATCCGATTTCAGCCGTGACGATTTGGGCAAGTCCTTGCTGCGGGTATGGATTAAGGCTTGATATTATCTGGAAAAGAAAACAGAACAAAACACGAGAAAGCAGCAGATGAATTCCATTAACATACTACTTTTATTAAGGGGTGAGGTTGGGGGGGTTGGAATTTTGCAGAAACTTGATATTTTGCGCGCGACGTCACGCAGAAGGATAAAACGTACGCTCAACTAGGACCTGGGGTCCCCCGCAAATAGTTCGTCATTTTGCGTAGTAATAAAACATTCTAGGAACTTTCCAGGCAGTAAAGGCACAAAAGTAAATTTATCGATATCAATACGGAGACCTCAGGTCACCTTATATATAAAATGAATTTTATATGATAGAAAAAATGACTCCAAAATAATCATATTGATAACTTGATGAAGATCATAATTCTAATAATATATATTAGCAGAAACGTGAAAGTAATAAAGGGTGCCCAGAGGTAACTTAATATTGTACATCAATAGAGGGACAAAAGATCACCTTACATTGTACATCAGTAGGGGGACCAGAGGCCACCTTATATTTTAAATCATTAGGGAGACTAGTGGTCACCTAATATTGTACTGTACATCAGTAGAGAGACCAGAGGTCACCTTATATTTTACATCAGTAGTAGGACCAGATGTCATCGTATATTGTACATCAGCAGAAGAACCAGAGGTCACCTTATATTGTACGGGGACTAGTGATCACCTAATATTGTACTGTACATCTGTACCGGGACCAGAGGACACCTTATATTTTACATTAGTAGTTGGACCAGAGGTCATCTTATATTGTACATCAGCAGAAGGACCTGGGGTAACCTCTTGTATATCAATAGGGGGACCAGAGGACACCTTATACTATACATCTGTAGGGGGACCAGAGGACACCTTATATTGTACATCGGTAGGGGGACCAGGGATCACCTTATATTGTATATCAGTAGGAGGACCAGAGGACACCTTATATTGTACATCAGTACGGGGACCAGAGGTCACCCGATATTTTACATTAATACGGGGAGAAGTGGTCACCTAATATTGTACTGTACATCAGTAGAGGGACCAGAGGTCACCTTATATTGTACATCAGTAGGGGGACCAGAGGTCACCTTATATTGTACATCAGTAGGGGGAACAGAGTTCACCTTATATTGAACATCAGTAGGCTGACCAGAAGTCACTTTATATTGTACATAAGTAGGGGGACCAGAGGTCACCTTATATTTAACATCAGAAGGATGACCAGAGGTCACCTTATATTGTACATCAGCAGGGGTACCAAGGGTCACCTTAAATTTGTACCTCAGTAGGGGGACTAGAGGTCACCTTATATTTAACATCAGAAGGATGACCAGAGGTCACCTTATATTGTACGGGAACTAGTGTTCACCTAATTTTGTACTGAACATCTGCAGCGGGATCAGAGGTCACCTTATATTTAACACCAGAAAAAGGGACTAGAAGTCACCTTATATTGTACATCAGTACGGGGACCAGATGTCACCCGATATTTTACATTAGTATGGAAACTAGTGGTCACCTTATATTGAACATCAATAAGGGGACCAGAGGACACCTTATATTATACATCAGTAGTAGGACCTAGAGGTCATCTTATATTGTACATCAGTAGAACGACCAGAGGTCACCATATATTGTACATCAATAGGGGGACCAGAGGTCACCTTATAATTAACATCAGTAGGAAGACCAGAAATCACCTTATAATTAACATCAGTAGGAAGACCAGAAATCACCTTATATTGTACATCAGAAGGGGGACCAGAGGTCACCTTATATTGTGCATCAGTAGGGGGACCAGAGGCTACCTTATATCGTTCATCAGTAAGGGTGACCAGAGGTCACCTTATATCTAACATCAGAAGGGGGACCAGGGGTCACTTTATATTGTACATCAGTAGGGGGATCAGAGTGCAGCTTATATTGAACATCAGTAGGCTGACCAGAAGTCACTTTATATTGTACATAAGTAGGGGAACCAGAGGTCACCTTATATTTAACATCAGAAGGATGACCAAAGGTCACCTGATATTGTACATCAGCAGGGGTACCAAGGGTCACCTTATATTGTACATCAGTAGGGGGACCAGAGGTCACCTTATATTCAACATCAGAAGGATGACCAGATTCACTTTCTATTGAATATCAGCATGGGGACCAGGGGTCACCTTATATTTAAAATTATAAGGGGGACCAGAGGTCATCTCATATTTTACATTGGTAGGGGACCAGAGACCACTTTATATTTTCCATCAAAAGGGGGACCAGAGACCACTTTATATTTTCCATTAAAAGGGGGACCAGAGGTCACCTTATATTTAACGCCAGAAGGGGGACTAGAGATCACCTTATATTGTACATCAGTAAGGGGATGAGAGGTCACTTTATATTGATCATCAGCAGGGGTACCAAGGGTCACCTTATATTGTACATCAGTAGGTGGACTAGAGTTCACCTCACATTGTACATTAGAAGGGGACCATAGGACATCTTATATTGTACATCAGTAGGGGGACTAGAGGCCATTTTTTTAATTGTATATCAGTAGGGAGACCAGAGGTCACCTTTAATTTAACATCAGAAGGGGGACCAGAGGTCACCGTATATTGTATATCAGTAAGGGGATCAGAGAACACTTTATATTGTACATCAGCAAGGGGACCAGGGGTCACCTTATATTGTGAATCAGTAGGACCAGAGGCCACCTTATATTGTACACCAGTATGGGGACCAGTAAAGGGAATAGAGGTCACCTTATATTATACATCAGTAGGAGGATTAGAGGTCACCTCATATTGTATATCAGAAGGGGGACCAGATGTCACCTTATATTGTACCTCATTAAGGGTATTAGAGGCCACTTTATATTGCACGTCATTTGGGGGACCAGAGGTTACCGTATATTGTACATCAGTAGGGGGACCAGAGGACACCTGATATTGTACATCGGTAGATCACCTTTTATAAGGGTCGTTTAATAAATAATGTCTTCGGTGCTCGGAAAGGAACAAAAGTCGCTTTTCAATAATTTAATTAAAATGATTTAACCTAAAATAATCTTTTCATTAAAACACATGTAAGTAACATTTTTTATCCAATTTCTGATTCATTTTCAATTGTTTTTTGAACTCATTTTTGGGTATGAACCTTTGTGTACTGAATTATTGCAGATCCTATGATTTCCTGGACTTGTTTCTTCCTTCTGAAAGGCGATTTCACAAGTTTGTCAAATGGAACAAGTCAAAAGGCGAAAGTTTTGGCGAATATTGTTAATGTGAATGAACATTAACTTTTGTTTATCCCCAAGACTCCTTTACTCTTCAGGGCTTTCGGGTTTGGACGCTGTCATGAAAAAAATCTAATGTTGTGGATTCCTGATTCTCATTAACCTTTTGATTTTTTTTTTTGCAAAAAATTGCTTTCTAGATTTCTCCAGAAATT